TGTTTGATGCCTATAACTTCTTGGAATGAATAACATTTGACTATGTGCAATTTCAGAATGTGATAATACAAATAATAACATATAAGTCTAAGACTTGTCTTATATAAATGTAAATAATTAAAATAACCAGCCCACCAATCCTAATAATATTATAATAAGAGATCCCAAATATAATAACAATAATTTTAAGACTCTGTACATAATTTATAACAGTTAATAGTATGTACTGTAGAATTATTATGTCTGAAATAATTGTTATTCTTACTGTTCCATTCTCAAACTTGTAAAATATTAGTTCAAATAGCTCACCAATGCTTATAATATAATAGTATAACATTCTACAAGTAATAATAGTAATTTACAGTACTTAATTATAATTTTTGGTGACCAATTGCAAATGCTACAGCTTTTACATGTTTAGAAAAGGTATTATGAGAATCATCAAAAAAGTACAGTTCTCCTTATATAATTCCAAGTATTTATTTTATCTCTATTTTTTTTACAGATATATACTATAACAGTAAAAATATAATTTTTAAATACTTTACATACATATAAAATAACACTTGTAAGGAGTAATCTACAAATCTTTTGAGTTTTAGTTAAAGTGAACATCTCGCAACACAAATCATGTGATATATTGCCATTCTAAGAAATTATGCAAGTAGCAGTAATCATGACAAACAATTTATAGTTGAAACACATTCTGCAAGATATATAATATGTGTTATTTGCATGAGTTTATTCTGGATCATCCCAGGTTACACGTCTTATTGCATGTGACTTAGAGTATATATAAAAGGGTTACAGGCAGCTACTTAGAGTCTCATCTTCATACTTGCTCCTGTACGTAGGTCAGCAACTCTCAATCCTATATTATTGCCCATTCTATGTTCCTGGGTAGGCTTTAGCCTTACACTTTTTTGAACTTTGCATTGAATTAAGGATTCTCCAAAGCTACCTACTATACTCTACTTGTGTCACTGGACTGTCAGCCATTGAAGGTGCTGTCTTTCAGTCTTGGGGAGTAATTTTCACTTTCATTCCTTGACAGTAGAGTGGCATTCGGACCGGATGTATTCGTTCGGAGAAGGAAGATTGTCGAATGTAAAGTATGCCTTTTCAGGCATAAGCATTTCTGAAGTCGCTATGCACCTTGTAGCTTTAATTGACAATACAAGACGCTGATGCATGTGCGTGTCGACGCTGGTTTGACGTGAAGAAAGTGCTGTGTGCAGACTGCCATCATGCGAATCGGAGTTTGAATTCAGGTACCATAGGATTCCTTTTCCAAATTCTCGGTCTTTTTTTGCAGGTCTGGATGCTCTTTATGCAGTTTCATCATCTTTGAAATCTCCCCATGCTTCTTCCACGCGTCAAGCACTCTTAGGCATCTCTTTCCCAGCGCTTCTGAGTATCAGCGGCGGCATATCATTTACCGTATCCATGAACACGGCCATACGAACTGCGTCAATTCGGGACTACTGACAGAACCTTGGACCATCATCAATAGAGTGGCAGAATACACTGTTAGCAATCTAATGGTAACAATCAAAGAAGATTCTGCGCGCCTGACTGGCCTGAAGACTCCGTTTCACTGCGACGTTACAAGTCGTGACTTGGTTCTATTGGTCGGTGCCGGGTGAACTCAACCGTCATCACGCCTGTAGAGCGACTTTCCGGGCGCTCTGGTGCATGACTGTACTTAACCACCGTCAGGCAAATACAAACAAGCAGTTCCAAATTCTTCGTTGCTACGCGGTGAGAGATCACGACTTTCCATCATAGCGAGGTTGCGTTGCCCACAGCGATCTGATCTGCCACTCCGGATCTATTTTTGAGCGATGGTGCCGCGTCTCCGCGATTCGCTCATCAGCAATAGGTGTATGGTATTCTCGTCGATTAGATCGGCACTGTCAAGCGGCATACAAGAGTGTGATCCAAAAGACATCGCCTTGAACAGTTCGTTGTGCCGCATCAGAGCTCCGACAGGGGTAAAGGCGTCTGGGACCGAACTTGGGCCATGCCACTAGCCAACCTGCATCTTCCCATCTTCCTGGTGCTAGCGGACTTTGCGCCATCTCCTATAAAGATGGTATCCTTCTGAATACCTCTTCAGAGTTTTCAGCTTAGTCTCTCATCCCCCCTTCTTTCGTTCTTCTATACTCTCTTTGTTATACCTTCTTTTATTTATCGTCTGGAACGATGAAGCTCCTTGCCACTCCTTTGATCACCCTTACTTTCTGCCTCGGCGCTCTGGGGGCCACGATCCAGATGCGTGCTCAAGGTATGCTTCCCTCGTCTAGTCTTGATGATGTCGTGCTGGACTTAATGACTCCTTACAGGCGGCGCAAAGGCAGCTAAAGCTGCCGGAGTTGAGAGATGCCCTAGCGCTTACATCGTGAAGACACAGCTCATCCAAGCTGGTGATATCACCGTGAACCGTTCGACCTACGCTTGCCCGGACAACAGTCTTCGCGAGGCTGCTCAGACTCCCTTGCCATCGACGAAGAATATCCCTAAGCAGCACTTCGGAAAACGTGCCGCGTTTGATGCTCGCAATGCTGCTGAGTGCAGGAACCCCGCTCCTGAATGCCAATGTGGCCAGAGTTGTCAGTTCATCTCTTCGTATTCGTGATTGAAATCACGTAGATGATGATTACGTCTATTATAGTTCAATGCAACTGCCAGAACGTCACCGCACAGGCACCCGAATCAAGCGACTGCGCATCACTTGTCTCCTCCACATCAGTGATCGCACAAGCAGCAGGCCCATCGTTCACGGTCGAGCCTGACAACTTTGAGCTGATCTCGTTCGGAACATGCGCCCTTGAATGGACCAATTTGTAAGTTAGAGTGTAGAATTCACCGAGGCTTACTGTCTGACTGCTTAATTGAAGTGGTTGCTCGACGCTTGAGTACTGCTGGGATGAGTTTGTGAGTAGCGATTTCCACACAGTACAGTCATAACAAATCTGACGTCCTGTCCTCACTTTCGCAGGGTGACACTGGAGGAGTTGTAAACCAACTTTGCTTCGAGCAAGGCGGTGGAACTGCTGCAGCATGCAATGCAGATGACGACCTCTGGCTTCTCCAGTGGGTTATTTCCGAACTTTCATAACTGATATTAATCTGACTATCATTTATTCTAGGGCTCTTCGTGTCGGCTCCTGAGCACTGGCTTTATGTTCGAGCATGGTACTACGAGTGAAAGGATGCTTAACTTCCTGGGACTGTAGCCTTTTGTTTGCTGGGTTTAGTGCTCAATCTTTTCTTGGGGCCTCGTTTATGAATGAGAGGTATATTTTCGATTCGAAAACAGGCAGAAAACAGTGGTATACTTCGTATTAAGGCTTCAGATAAGCAACTTAATGTAAGATTGAGAGCGACGAAAGAGGACGCGAAGACAAAAAAAGAAAAAAAAGAGAAGTTTCAAGTCGCCTGTGTTGGGTCACCTGTGGGAGACTTGTTCTGCGTTTCGATGCCCTCGAGATGATTGGCGACGAGCGACATATCTGGTCTCTCGGTAGGCTGTGTTTTCCAACAAAGGTGCATAATGAACCATACATCCGAAGTCAAACCCTTGGCAGCAGCGGCAGGCCCGGGCCAAGCGGGTCTCCTATTCCTTACGGCGACCTCCAGGATAACAGTACCGTCACGAAGTTCAGCAAAGGGAACTTTCCCCGAGAAAATCTACCAATAAAACATGAATAAGACGATCAGTGGACATGTAACGACGAGCGGACTCGTACCTCCAAACAAACACAGGAAAAGGCGTAGACGTCGCTCTTCGTCGTTACCTTGCTTAAGTCCTCGCCAAACTGGGATGCAATAATTAGTTCGGGTGCTTGCCAGCGTGTTGCCCCTTTGCCTTTGAAAGATGACGTGATCTGGGGGCCCTGTGAATCGACGGCCCGTGCGAGTCCGAAGTCAGTGATTCTGGGCTCATCATTCTCGTCAACGAGAACGTTGTCCTGGAACTGAGTCAGACGCCTTTTTATTAGACAGATGATTGGGTGTAATGTTACATACTGCACGCAGATCACCATGGACGATGTTTGGCTTCAGGTTATGAAGATAGTCGAGACCACGAGCCACACCAATCGCCTGCATATCCAGTTTCGTCAGTATGCAAGATTGAGTTTATTGAGTAGCAGCCTTACGAATTTCAGGCAGTCTGCAGACCGATTCTTTTTAAGATATTCGGAAAGAGATCCGTTCTTCATCCAGTGTGATACCAAAGCCATCTTGGGCGCAAACTGGTCACGACAGATTCCGAGGAAAGGCAAGACATTCGGATGGTCAAGGTTCCGCCAGAGTAGAGCCTCTTTGCAGAAGTCCTATAAGTAAATAATCAATGTTGCGAAATGAAATGGAACGTCACTTTTTTGCACTACAAGGACTTACACGTTGCATCTTTTCTTGGTCTTGAATCGAGTAAATTCGCAACACCTTCAAAGCGACAACTCTGCCTTCGTATTCGCCCTTGTAAACATCGGCGAAGCCCCCGCCTCGTTCGGAATTCACTGCAGTGCGGCGAACACCCGACAGAAAGATGCTTGAAGGGAGAATGCTACGCTTCTCCACGATGTGCTTCAAGAAGCGATCCAGCGCTCTAACATCGTGACCACGCGAGACGACATGTTTAATTGTCTTTAAAAGCATACGTCAATGACATAACCTACGAATTTATTAACCAATCTTACTTTCTGAACCAAATCAACAATGCGTTGCAGTACCGTCTCTTGGAGCAAGGAAAGTTCTGCAATTATTCCTTTATCAAGAAAGATGTCGTTGAATTCGCTCAGATCATATGTCACAGCTTTTGAAATAATATCTTTCCAAAAACAACCTCTTGCTGTAAATGTCTTGATAGACATTGTCGAACTGATTTCAGTGTGCGGAAATAGGTATTTTCAAGGAAATTCGCTCACAACCGGCTCATCGGCAAGCGTCATAATATCCATTATAGTGTGGAAGGTATTATGAGCGTGTACGACAGAATTTGCAACGTCCCAGCTACACATATACTCTTTGAGGTTGTAAAAACTGTTAAGTTTCCTTGAGAATGACAAGTCAACGAGTAGTAGAATCGGTATGAGAAATACGAGACTCAACCTCTCGAAATCAGGGTTCTCCGTGAACTGGGTCGCGAGCGCCAAAAATTCGAATATGCAATATGTGCTGACCTTACGATTCCGATAGGAATTGTCAATCAATGGAACAGGGAAACGGTGGGCTATTAAGAACGTACTGGGAAAAGTTCCACGCAATCTCTAACCCGCATCCAATGCTCGTTCAGTACGGGTAGCTGTATATTTGCAGGTAAACAGCTCGTGAACAAACCACGTAACGAGGCCATGGCTTTCTCTCTATCAATCAAAACCGATGGCGCCCTGCGCACTTTCGTGCTCGGAGCGGCGCCAGCGCCTGGAAGAGCAAAATACGAGAGATAGTTTGATTTGACTCGTTGCGGCGACTCCGTGGTTGTTCCCGACAGCCTGTGTTTCTTCGCTAACAGATTGAGAGACGAAAAGCGTTTCACTATTCCTCTCTTGAACCGCGAGACCTGCTCAGCTTGAAGTGCACCTGAAGTACGGTCACCTGTGACCGGATGCGGTTCTAGAGAGACGACCGGGCGCAGCATGTTGTAGAGTAGAGTCAGACATAGGTGGGGTATTTATACGGAGGAGGACGACCACAGTACCAGTGCACGATATCAGAGAAGAGGTAACGAGGAAGATGGGCTTTACCTAGTTTAGATCAATGCAATCCAGAGGCCATCGTTTCAATCGTCATTAGTAAATGCTAGACTATATCAAGAAGTTGTTGCTTGTATAACGACATAGCATTCAGGATGGTGTAGCCAGATAGAGTAAACGTCGGCCTGAGGTAAACAATACGCCTTCGATTCCCTAGGATCCGAGAAGTTTTATTTAAATGCAAGCCTGTCAATCGCGATTGGAGTTTAGCCGGTCCTTGATAAAAGACTCGTGTAACACGAGTCGTGTTTCCCTTTCGCCCATCACATGAACATCCCGCCTTCCCTCCAGAGTACGGATGCACAGATCCTCATTCGTAGCAAACACACCAGCAATTAAAGCCGTGACACTGAGACTTTTCTGTTGTACAGTAGATGCTTCGAGAGCAGGGCCATGACATTTGTATGGCTGATCTTCTAGATTCTTCCTCTTCGCTCACCAAACCAATAGACTTCACGTGATCGCAATTCAGCTCATGTGACATATCACGTGAATTCGACATTACTAGACAACTTCCGCTTCCTCTAGCTCTGCGATATCTGATTTGTAGCGACCGTAAACAGATACAAGTCTAGTTTGGCAGTAATATTGTTACACCCTGTCAGAACTTGGAAGCAATATAGATACCAGTCGTTCTTTCCATTTTTGAGATAACAATATCTGAAAAACTAGAATACAGAGAAAATATTTATTGTAAAATAATACATATTGAAACAAAGAGAGCGTGTGATAAGGAAGCACCCATCCTCGAGTCATACAGACTCATATTGGGCCACAGTCAGTATTAAGTAACATCACACCGAAAATTTATACAGTAGAGAAGTCTTCTAAGAAGCATCGCGTCAAAATGCATGTTTGCCGTATTGCAAATATATTGGATGTGGCCAGGTCTTAGCGCAATTGTAATGCTACCTCAAGGCGTTTGCTACCATGTCCTGGGATCAGGGCCATCAGAACTGCCGCATGACATACTTATAAACACAGGTTAGCTAAGCTTCTCCTCTTTGCTGTGTATTGTCTTAAGTTTGCCTACCTAGGTTTGACAGCCATATCGATCATGGGCACGGTTTAGAGCGCTTTTACTGAGACATGTAGATTACATACTCAGGAATCGGATTGTGGCCTCTTCATGTACGGTCAGCTGCGGACTCCCTTGCTGTGCGTATGCATTTGCGGATGCGGAATTTGGCACCGATGTGGTATAGATGCAAGCAAGGAACGACAAGGAAAAAAATCCGATGTACAGAAAGCCATGGTCCTGGAGTACATTTGCATTGGCAATTACGTTAGCCAAGCTAACAACTATAAAGACAACTCAAGAAAGAAGATCATCGAGCGAAATAAGGGACATAAATAGTGCCAAACAGAAGTCATGAAAGTAAAGTAGAATACCTATGAAAGAATACAGAACAGTATATGGTACAACACAAACTGAAACGAGCGAAAGAGGCATGGATGGTCTATGTCAGGAGGTCAGTCTCTTTCCCCTTTCCCTTGTTCAAAACTGGAGTGGGATGTAGAGGTGCAGAGCTACTCGCAGATTGGTCGTCGGGACTTGACGATCGACTAGTGCTCCGCGCGTAGCGTATACGCTTACGCGCGTAAAATTTCCCACGTATACGCATACGCGCGTATAATTACGGGCGTAAACTGGGTCAGCAGGACCCATATACGATACGCTACTTCCGTATACGGCGTATACGCTGTGCCAAATATAACAAGATACTTTACATTAAAATAGCTCATAAAAGTACACTATCATCTTTCAAAACAAATGCTTGATATTACTGAGCTAAGAAAATGTATTGTAGTGCTGTTTACACACAGAAATAAACCCAAGATCTTCGCTGAACGCTGAACGTTGTGAGTGTTAGAGGTTCTGAGACTATATAAAGACAGTTGAGTGTTGTGAGTTAATATCACGTGACAGCTCTAAACCTTCATGTGATGTAGGCCCTGGCATGGTAACCATCCGCGCGTACCGCGATCCATACCGTGGTTTTTTCTTACCGCGGTAAATTTTCTCACGGTTACCGCGGTAAACCACCGTACCGTGCCAATCTTCGAGTACCACTGTAGAATATAACTATTCTTTTTTCTACTTATTCTCAGTTGA